TAACATATATATGCTATTATATATTATATATATTATATATAACATAATATATATTATATATAACATAATATATATTATGTTATTATATGTATTATGTTATTAACATATATATACATATATATATATACACACAAAATACCTAAGAAGGTAAAAGATTGCTCTTTGAGAATAAAGTTAATAAAAGCAAAATTCACTATCTTCTTAAGTAAGCCATATAAAAGCTTGACAAAGTTGCCAAGAAGAATGAGGAGAGGTGCAAACTCAACTTTAAAACCTTTCACTTACCCTTTTGGTCACAGAATCGCCAGGAATATAAACTAGTATGATAGAGATGAGGCAGAAAGGAAATTAATTGTAAGTGCACCTGCCAAACCCCTCCATCTTTTTACATCCCTTTCTTGTGAAATTCTTGCTCTCTCCATCCTCCGAGAGGAGGTGGTTGTTACCTCCGGTGTCATATTTAAGTTACTTTCTCATATTTCAGTTTTTAAAATTCACTTTTTCTTCGTTTTCAGCTTCCATTTCCCTTTCGGTTTGGACCTGAAAGGAAGGAGCGCACCGGGTCGGTTTGCCTGGGTCGTCTGAATTTCACAGCCTAGATTCAAAGCTTTTAGTGCGGTAGGATTAGGAGCCTCGCTTACTGAATTTCAAGCACCCGGTTCTCCGGGTAAAGGACAAGTTTAATTCTGTTCTGAATAATCCTACTATTCAGAAAACTGGGTGTCTACAGGGAAAAAAACAGGCCACGACTGCAAACCTAAAGGAAAGAGCAGATAACTGCCAGACAGGGGCAGGCAAGTGGGGGAGGAACTTTAGTAAATATTGCATGCCTCCTGGGGGCCGCGTGAGCTTTGCCTCAAGCGGGAGATAAAGAGAATTTGTTAAATAAAGAAGCCAATTGGGGCAGACAAAAGCTTCTGGCACAGGAAGTTAGTTCGAGTGAGGATGCTGAAATGTAGGCATTTGAATAGGTTCCTCTGCGTGAGGTTGAAGCGAGACCTGATTTAAAAGAAGCAGCAGCTGCTGGCAAGTTTTTCCTTGAAGGATTCCCGGGTTGTGGGTGGTTGATGTAAAACTGTGGTCCTAGAAGAAAGCGTTTCTTGAGAACTTGAAAAGGTTAAGCTAAGAAATTACTTCGCCAATGGTAGCATTACCTCCAGGTATACTACCAAGCAAGCTATCAGGAAAGATCAGGTTAAGACGCTAGAATCAGAGGCCCGTGGGCGGCTCAGCCGGCTGAACGTTGGAGTCTTGATTTCAGCGCAGGTCATGATCTCATGGTTCGCGAGTTCGAGCCCCGCCTGGGGCTCCGGGCTCACAGTGCGGATTGTCTTTCTCTCTCTCTCTATGCCCCTCCCATACTTCGGCTCTCCCTGTCTCTCAAAATAAATGAACATTAAATATACATATACATTTAAATACATCCATTAAACATACACATATATTTAAATATATATATTCAAGATATAAAGGTGCTAGAATCCTATGAAATCGATCTAATCACACTCTCACGCCACAAAGTACGGGGAATGAGATGGGTCACGCTCACATACGTAGGGACAGGGCGCAAGGAGGATAGAAAGGGTAGCGATGTTCAAATATGTCTCTGGTGCCTGATGTGACTGCAAAGACTGAGGAGCAGAACCTGAGATCGAAGGGCCGGGGTCCTGCAGAAGGAATGTCCCTGGACACAGTCACACAGGCATGCTCTATTTGCAGACACCCTGGCAAGTATTCCTGGCCGCAAGAGCAGCTCTCCTTAGCTTGATGAACCGCTGTGGAATTTATTTTCACTACCTGAGCATTATACATGTGGGGCTGGAATGGGGTCAAGGATGGATGGCCAATTTAAGTGAAGACTTAACAGATGCTGTCGGGCTGCCTGAGTGGCTCAGTTGGTTGAGCGTCTGACTCTATTTTGACTCGCGTCAGGATATCTCGGTTTCAGGAGTTGGAGCCCCATTTGGGGTTCTATGCTGACAGTGCAGAGCCTGCTTGAGATTCTCCCTCTCTCTCTGCCCCTGCCCCGCTTGCTAAATAAGAGGTGCTAAATAATAAGGCTTCTCTGGCTCCTTCCATTCCTTTCGGGGCTCTGTGCACATATACTCTGCCCACCTAAATCTAATATGTCCTACTGGCTGCTAATTTCTCTGTAATTAATGTGCCGTATGTGTTACAAAAATTTCAGTTGTGTTCCATAGTGGAAGCGAACATTCTCAGACAATATAGTAAGTGCACATTAAACTGTATAAGCCACGCAGTTCCTGTCGTTTTTGCAACCATAGATCGCCCCTGATTCTTAGCCTCCCCTCGATCCCAGATCTCATTTCTTTTTTTTCCAGGCCTCATTTCTTAAGTCTAAATCCTTCCTCAGCCACTTAAATCCTAGGATCATACTTAACATTCCCCAAACTGTGTAGGCTTTAAAGGTTCCTCTGGTGCTGCCCTTTGACCCATTCGGCACAATTATGTTAATTTCCACTGGTTCTCTGATCAATTCTTATTCATATAAAAAAGGGTTCTTTTTATCTGTTGAGACTCTGCACTACAATCCCCATCAGGATGAGAGAAACATGATTATTATTCTTAACTCCACCAACGGCTTTTTACTTTGTCTTTCCTCATGCCCCTTGCATTTTCCAAAAGAATAGTGGAAAATAAAGCCAGTTTCAACTTGGAGGAAAATAACTATGTATGAGTACATGTAGGCAGCATTTCTTTTACATGGGAATAGATTTATAAATTTGATTTCACGTGATCCTTAAGCCACACTCTGAATTTAACTACCATTTATATGTAAAAGAAACAGAAGTTCTAGAAGTTTACAGAACCCAGCCAATGGTGTAGGGCCTTCTCTTCCGTCTGAGTTGACTACAACCCCTGTCTCCACTGAGAAACTGCCCCCCCCCATACCTCTTCAATTCACTGCAATTCATTTTCTGTTCTCAATGACCCATTGTCATAAGTCAAACTAAAATGTAAAAGACATCACAAAATTCACCCTTCATTAGCTCAGTCAAGGAATATTGGTTAATACTTCCTAGGTATCAGGTATTTTGCTAGGTGTTGGAGGTTATGCCTGTCTTCTTGGAGATAAGACAGACGGTTAAATGCTTTGACCTTGGATATTACCTTACCTGACTCTAACATTTATAGCAACTATGTGCCCAGTATTGTGATAACTACTTTAAATGCATCTCTTATTTAATTTTCATAAAACAAGATGAGGTATTATTGTCCCATTACAGATGATGAGGGTTGGAACATGAATCATAACTTCCCTATGGACACACATCTAAGTAGAGCTGAGTCTAAAACCCATAACCTCAGCTATACTCCTATACACATTTGTTTCCATTTCAGAATGCTGGTGTCCGGGAGCAAGAATTCTGTCCCCTTCCAGAGTCCTTTTGAAAAGAGTCAAATTGACATGAGACAGATTAACAAGAGAAAACCAAATTTAATAGCATACATACGGGAAATCCACACAGGCATGGAAATTCCAAAGGCAGGCAAAATGAGGTATATATGTCTAACTGAGCTAGGGAGACTGGGATAGGGGACTTTGAAGGGAAGGAATGCAACTCATAGGGCAGTAAGAACAGATGTCTGTTAATTAGATGTTTGCCTTGCCATACAGATAAGGCAATAAAAATAAAATTTATCTCTGCTAATAACCCTTATTCTCGTAAATGCCTTTCCCACCGTTACCTTGTAGACCTTGTAGGGCTTCTCCTCTGCTAATGGAAGTATTCCACGGGAGTCCGCCCTCAGACCTGTCCTATTACCAGTCTTCATGCTTTACCCTTCTTTGTCACTGGCACCCCTACACCTCTAGGCTAATTGTTCTCAAGTCTGGATCTTCAGTTTAAGAGTCTGCAGTGCCCAGATCTCAGACATGTCTGCCTACTTGGTATCTCCATTTACACTAACCTGATTCTGCCACTCAGTTTCCTCATCTGTAGAATAAGCGTGAGTAAGGGGCGCCTGGGTGGCTCAGTCGGTTAAGCGTCCGACT